CCTACACAGCAAATCGACCCCAACGATGGGCACTCACTTTGCTGAGCTACGATTTTGAGACCCGTTATCAGTCGGCGGTTTCGATGGGCCAAACAGATGCGTTGTCACGCCTCATTGATCCCCATCAACAAGAACATGAGGACACGATCATAGCCTGATGTTAAATTCCTGGTGAGCGAAGCATTACATGGTTTGCCAGTTACAGCAAAAGCCGTGCGGGCCGAGACGCTTCCAGATTCAATCCTACAGAAGGTTACATGCTTCCACAGAACCAGCTGGCCACGTTCGTGTTCCTCTGCCGAAACGCAGCTGTTCTATCAGCGATGACATTCGCTCTCCATTGTTGCATCATGTTTTCGGAGAGTAGTCATCCCGCAGATATTGCAAGAAACTGTTACGGCAGTTCCATGCAGGACATCCAGATTTCTCAACCGAATGAAAGCGCTCTCATTGGCCGGTTATGGACAGACAGCTGAAGCAGCTAGCTAGAAGTTGCAGCAACCGCGCTACCACTTCAAGGGCACCGTCGAAAACGGAACTCCATTTGTGGTCAAAACCAACCTAACCTTGGAGCCGTATTCATGTCGACTTTGCAGCCTCAATCAAAGGCCAGACCTTTTTCCATAGTGATCGACGTTTTCTTCAAGTGGCCCGAAGTATTCCTCATGAGCAGCACGAAAACCAGCACAACGGTCTCTAGGTCGCGACACACTTTCAGCAGGTTCGGCTGCTCTGAAACATTGATGTCATCAATCAATCATCAACAGCAGTACATCAGCCATTTGAACTGATGCTTCGCTGCCATACAACCATGAGGACCTATGAAATAAAGAATAAGAAGAGGGAGAGAAGGGGGACTTACCTGAAAACCTTAATGCCCTAAGCAAACATTCAGGGTCAAGGCGCCTACACCTTGTGTAGACAACATACCGTCACAAACAGCTGGCTATCGTGCAAAGATAAGGCGGCATCGGCGAGACAGCTTCCTTGCGGCTTTCACTGCCACGCGTCATAATCAGCCATTATCCCGCAGATAACTCAGCACCAAACACACTTCAAACAGACAATCCGATGAGGAGACGGCAGCAGACGCGCCACTGGTGTCGGTTGCGAGCCATGTCCTGTAAAGTCTCGAGCCAAGCACAAGGTGAGTCACGTGGACTCCAACCCGGAAGGCGAGACGGACCAACGGCACCCAGTTTGGTCGTCAGTGACTTTAATTCATTCTGCCAAGTCAACTTCTGTCCACCTGGAGCCTTGCGCCATCTTACACCTGGTAGACTGAACAAGGCCCTCCTAGGTAAGCGGTGACCAGGCATGCGTAGCACGTGCCCGAGCCAACGTAACTTATTCAGTGCTATCTGTTGTTCTAGGGAGCTAGCATGATTATCACTACCTAGTACTCGCCTACACACATTATCGTTGGGGACACGCTGGTGCCATCCGACACCAGCAATGCTTCGCAAACAACGATGATCAAAGACTTGAAGGCGCTTCATATCTTCAGACCGAAGGGGCCAAGTTTCACTACCATAGAGCAGAACGGCCCTCACTGTGGCCTTGTATACACGGCCTTTCAGACGGAGGGAAACTCCCTTCTGTCGTCAAAGATGACGCAGGTTCAAGAAGGCAGCTCTGGCCTTTGCAATGCGTGAGCTCACGTCAGTTTCTATGCGCCCAACATTGATGACCGACAGCGGAACATAGTTTACTTCTGCCACATTCACGGAGTTCTGAAAACTCTGCGCCATCAAACACCTGCGGTCTCCACCGCACATTTAAACGCGCCCTCCTCAGATCAGAGAGAGGGAAACATAAAGGAGGTGATCGACCGGCTCCCTCTGTACCGGCCTACCCAAAGGCCGGATGGAGTCATACCAGCAAAGTCAGTGATGAAAAGAAAACTCCGCATGCCCTTGGATGCAGCTCGGCCGTCCTCAGACCGCCCAGCTAGTAAAAGTAACCTCAACTTGGAACGTGATTTCCATCGGCAGTATGGTGCCAAGCGACGGTCGTTTAAACCGGGTCAGTCGGTACTTGTGTCTGATTACCAGGAAGGACACGCAAAGTGGACACCAGGCATCATCGAGGACAAGAGCCGGGACGTCATTTACGACGTGCAGGTTGAAACGCAGGTCTGGGTACGCCATGCAATCCAGCTGCGATCAACAATGTGCCAGCCACAAGCGACAGTCTGCCGAGCTCCCATTTGATCTGTTGGCGGACAGCAGCAATTTGCCTAAAGAGCCCGTGGAATATCCCTGCCAGCAGAAGATACCAGACCGCAGAGCATGGAATCCGAATCCAGTACACTTCAGCCAAGGCGATGGACTGATAGGCATAGAATACCGCGGCAGCCGTCTCAGGAGGCGAGGTATTCGGATAAGGTGAACACATTAAGAAAAATCCATTATTTTAGCAATTAATCGATTAACTTCGATTGCACATTGATTACCAACATCCTGGAAACATTCATTCCTTCACATGATTGTCGGCCTACTGAGTTTTGGCAGAGACTGCTATTTTTACCAGTTGATCTTCCTTTTATAGAAACAGAAGACCATTAAGCTACTTGTAAATTCGCCGAAGGTCTGACGTAGTGCTGCTTTTTAGCTGCGTTTTGGATCACGTTTTTCTCGGTCAAAATCGCTGGGCTTTTGGTTTTCTTCTGGGCGGAGAATTTTGGGTGTTTACTTCGTAGTAGCGTGAAAACTTGAAGATCTAAAAGTGTCTGCCATTGAGTTATTACCTATATTAGGGTTCTTCTCTCTCACCACCACCAGCTTTTACCAATTCGCCTGATCTGGTAAAGCTATTTCATTAAGAGCGTAACGTTGCGTTAAACATGCACCCACCGGTTGCTTTCTTGTCTCAGTAGGTTCCAGTTATGTGCCTATAGTTCCAACCCTACGTGGCTCGATCGCCATCCTTTTCGTACAGCCTGTTTGACACTACCGCAATGAGAATAGACATTGTCTTTTGATGGTTTTCATGTCTCAGCGATCCACTGGGTTATGCTTGGTGCTTTTGCATCTTCAGAGCCACTCGTACCAGGTTGGACAATAATTAGATGCCTGACAATCTCTTGGCACTCCATGTTGGGGGGGGGGAGTAAGAATGGCTCCTTTTTTCTCAATTGCGGTCGTTTCACCACCAATCGAGGCAGTATCTTTAGTACTTTATAGTAGCAGCTTGGTTTCCTCCCCGGTCGAGGATGTATAAACCACTTGTTTACGCTTCGCCAACTCCTTGAAACGCCTCATCTTTACCGCCAGCGCATTATCGTTGTTTTTTCTGGTCATCCGAGCCGCTTTCAACTCTGTCGATCGGCCAGCTTTATGGTGTTGCTTACAAAGGAATGAAGTACCCGAAAAGTATATCGCCATCCTTCGAGCATTGTATTGCAATGTCTCAGGTAAAGTGAGAGCCTATGATAACCTCTCTTCATCTTTTGACGTCACTAGCGGGGTGCGACAGGGTTGCCCCATGTCCCCATTTTTCTTCAATTTTTTCCTTGAGGAAGTCCTTTTAAACGCTCACGAGGACTTTCAGCGTTCTGGTGTAGAGCTTTTTCCCCGGAAACCGCGTGATTGATTTTGATTATCCTGATGATATTGTCTTGCTTAGTGATGACGCATAAAGCAGACTGTTATACACCGCTTAGCGACTGAAGCGTCAAAATATGGCGTGCTCTTTGCCCATACAAAGTGCAAAGTCCTGGCCCTGGATTGGCATCCACTTGCCTTAGTGCTCATTCTTCATGGTACGCAGCTTGAACAAATGGGCAACTTTGTTTACCTGGGAAGTTGTCTCTGCTGGTGGTAGCATTTGAAAAGTGCTTTCCCTCCGTATTGCCAAAGTCCGTTCGGCGTTCGCCAAATTGAGGAATTTGTGGTGACGCCGTGACATTTCACTATTGGTAAGGGCAGCGTCTACAATGCCTGTGTTCGTGCGGTGCTGCTGTAGGGAAGTGAGTCCTGGCCGATTTGTGTGTGACTTGCGTCGCATTTCATCCTTTGACAATGAATGTGTACGCAGAATAGCTCAAGTCTGGTAGACGAGCCACCTGCGCAACGATGATGTTAGACAGCGCGGTACCAGTCTTGGTACCGCTGAGATGGCTGGGTCACGTTTTACGCATACCATGCGGACGGCTGACCCGACGCGCTCTCTTCGCTCGCATAGGACCGGGCTGGAAGAAATTGGATGTTGGTCAGCTATCACGTGGTGTCAAATGATTAAAGCGCTGTTAATCTGTCGTAGGTCCGGGCTGGTGGATTAAAGATGAAGAACACCGCTGGCTGGAAACTCTCAGAGATGACGCAGAACCGGGTCCAATGGAATAAGTATACGAATGTTCGTCTTGATTTTCTTGATTTACATCAAACATTAAACAAGCAAAAAAGCTAAACCGGCGTGTGCAAAAAACAAAAAAGACAAGCAAGATTCAAACCAAAAAAGCTTCTTTGTCACTTTCATTCTTTTGTCTTGTCTGTAATTATTCCATTTCATGGCTTTCGCTGGCTCTATGTCTGTCTGTTGACTGTTGATAATATAATGTACTTTGTAGTAGGTCTTGACCAAGCAGATCCAACGACGGTCTCTCCTCAGCTTACTTCTCCGACCGGTGACCGAAAGGATTATATGCCTGACTTCTGATCCGGGGGCCACTTTCTCGAATCCGCCTTAATGCGGGCAACCTTGCGATACACCCAACCCAAGCGCGACTGTTAATAGTCGGTGCTATGTACCGTCATGTTTCTGATGCATATTTTACACTTAAACAGACCACAACGCGAATCTAATGTTAGCTTTCTTATTATACTGCGAATTATTTTCGTAGATTGCAGACATTTGCATATATTCAGTTAATTTGTATCCCTTCGGTTCACTAATCTGGACGCATCACACTATTTTTATTAGAAGCTGCATTCCAGGTATTTTACGTTTCAGTTAGCCTACATGTTTCCAGCCTCCCCCATTTTCTTTTTCTTTTACAGAGTTGGGCTACATTGGTGTCAGTGCTGTCGTTCTTCATCACTCTCGCTTCTGCGCTATATATCTACTTCACACCGCATTCTAGTAGGACTCTGGTGACCCGAACATGCGCATTCGTTCTTTTCGCCTTCAGTACAGGTACTATTCATTGTTGTGCACCATTAGTTCCACTGCTATTGCCATTTTATGTGTGTTTTTCCTCGCTGCAAACCAAGTTTCTTCCAGATTCCCCTCAAGCATATGAATCTAGTCCTCATTGTAAATTAATCTCGTTTGCATTACATCCAAACTCCTCGCAGGTATCATCCTTTGACGACTTATTGGTCCTCGTGAGGACCGAATCACTGAAGTCCGAGTGGTCGTAGCTGTATCGGTCACATACTTACTTCTCGCCAAGTGCTAGAGCAGACATACAAACGAACATTGATGGTTTTCCTTGACTTGAAATCCTCCTTCTGCTTTGTTGATCGAGAGCTTGTGATACTACCTATCCATGAAGGGCGCGCCGGCTAAATTCCTTTCCATTATGCAGTCTCTTTATCATGACTCGAGTTTGTCTAAGAGTCTACTATCTCCTGCGTTTCCTACCACAACTAGACTTCGCCAGAGTCGTCCTGTATCTTTTCTTTGACTATTTTCGAAGTGATCACACGTGGGGTGAATGAAAAGTTTCGAGCCTGACATGGAACCAAACAAGATACAAATTCCTCGACGCTTTTATTTTTCAACAAAATCTCATCATCATCATCATCGTTATGCACGTGGAAAACAGCAGCTACTGTGTCGCAATACCTAAAGAAAAAAAAGAAAGAACGCAACAAGTGCAAGCCAGCTGAGCTACCGGTAACTGATGGGAATCGTTCTGGTAGGCTACCAGCCGACTACTATGCAGCGAAAAAAACTACTGCAAAACTATATAAGGCTAAATGGTGAGATCGTGGTTGGAGGGGAAGGCTAAAAAAGATGGGGAGGGACAAAGAAACTCAGCACGAACGCTACTGAGGTCGGCTCCTTGCCATGTCAGCAAGTGTATCCAGCCAAACGTGTTCATCGTCTTTCGGACCCCAACCACGGAGCCGAGACGCTCCAACTGAGGCCAGCTCCGAAGTGAGGGCCTTCATTCCTCTCGAACAAGTCATCGCTTGGCCACCCCTCCTCTTCTTCCATCCACACCCCCGGCGCGCAAACAACGCACGTCGCGGGAGTCAGTGGGCTGGCATGCGTAACACGTGGCCGAGCCATCGGAGCCTGGTGCGTGAAATAACGGTGCTGAGCGGTTCAGTTCCTTTTCCTGTGCCGCAAACAAGACGTCGAACACGCTTGCTGCTCATATAGCGTTCCCACCAGGTGTGAGCTAAGTTGCGAAGGCACTGGTGGTCGAACGGAACTAGCCTCTTTATGTCAGCTGCTTTAAGTGGTCAGGTTTAACAACCGTACAGTAGGTATTAAGAGGGGCATCTAACAAATGGATCAGTGAACCCAAATGATGTGCATGGCTGGCCGCTAAACGCGTTCGACCGTCTGCCGTAATTCTTGATTGATAATTTGAATTCTGTGTTTATGTGACCTTTAGTGTCTCGCTCCTCCTGTTGCTGTATTTTTGAGATTTACTGTTACGCAAACAACCATCTTATTACACAGCTCTGTTTTTCTGTTTTCGTCTGGCTTAACGGTAAGGTCGAACGTACCGCTGCATTGTACACTTTCCCCAGTAGGGCGGGAGTGATGTCGCGCCGGCGTCACAAGTAACGAAGCTTAGCAAAAGCGCGAGGCGCTTTTGCTTTACGGTTCGTGATCTCATCTTCAATCCCACAGGCGCTGATACAACTTCCCAGGTAGTTGCATTTTTGAACGACTTCTAGCTGATTCCCACCACGGGTCGGCGTATGAGGCGGTCTAGGAGAATCTTGAAAGAACGCTTTACTTTTCGAGGGTGCGAAGCAAAGTCCGAATTGACGAACTGCCAGTGCTTATCTGTCCAGTGCAGCTTGGCACGTCTGGGAGCTGACACAGATGAGAGCAATATCGCCAGCAATACACTTGCTCCCGCGGTGCTGAAGCGCTTTTATCTCAGTGAAAGTACTCTTCAGATTGTGACTCCTAATAGACTTCTCCGGCCTCAATGACGTCCCTATCTTTGAGAAAACATTTGTCAGTTAAAGTTTTTTTAGTTTGGAAATAGATGGAAGTCAGACGGAGTCAGATCTGTTGAATAGGGTGGATGAAAGAGGTTCGAACTCGCAGTCATGCATTGTTTTCTGTGCAATAGAAGAGGGGTGTGCTGGAGCGTTGTCCTTGTTGAGAAGCACGCCTTTCGTCAACATTCCTGGCCTCTTCTCAAATTTTTTCTCTGTGACGTTTCAGTAGCTCACGGCAATACTTTCCTGTAATGGTATGATCTCTCAAAGATATCAATCATTGCCACATCTTGGGAGTCCTAAAAATCAGATCCCATCACATTGCCAGCTTACAGCTTTGCCTTGGCCTTCATTGGCGCAGACGATGCACGCTCCCATTGCTTTTTTCTTTCTGGTTGAAACTGATAAACCCAACACTTATCCATAGTGAGGAATCGAGCAAGAATACTATCGGTATCAGTCTCAAACAGTTCCAAATTGTTCTTCGACATCATTTGCCGCATGCGCTTCTGATCCGCAGCACCCATCGAGCGGAAACTTCTGAATAACCTAACTCCTTTGTCAGAATATTATCCGCTCGCTCTTGGGAGCTGCTAGATCTCTGCTATCTGACGAGTAGATACTCGACGTTCTTGCATGGTCATATCTACTGCTGGTCAAGATTTTCTTTGGTGGTAACTGTTTTTGATCCCCCTGATCTGGACTCGTCTTCAATACTTTTCCTGCAGCCTTTGAATTTGTGCACCCAGCGTTTAACTGGCATATGAAGGGGCATTGTCATGCAATGTATCTTGGTGAATTTCAGATGGTGACATAGCTTTAAGATAAAGATATTCAATCACCGCACGGTGCTCCATTTTCACAAACTTGTTGAACACGATCACTTCAACTAGCTGCTGAAATGAGCAAAACAGGTAGAAAGACGATTTTATTTGTATTGAATAATGAAGAGTGGTAGGTTGTAATGAGCTTAATTTGACTTGTCAGACTCGAAACTTTTCATTTACCATTTGTAGATGACTGTTTTTTCAGACTAACGGAATGGAAGTTCTACCAGGTGACCGACTGGAAGCCTGGAGTATGCTGACGACAGCTCTTTTTGTGCCCGACGTGGTGGCTATGCAAAAACTGCCAGCTGTATGTCGTAACGGCACTTCGCTTCCACACGACTACCACCAGTCGCGCTGGGGCTGAGTATACCGCGAGGACGCCCACCCCTGCGCGGATAGACTGGCGCATACCACTGCACGTTTCGATATGTGCTTTGCACCTTCAAAGTGCACGGGACTGGACCGACACATCTTTGCTCCTAGCTTTCACTGAACAGCCACTAGAAGTAGTGTATATACATAAACCCAATAAATCCCCCTACTACTTACAAATAATCAGTAGTCGCCTTTGCAGTTTACTTGCCACCTCGATTGGTGGCGGCTTGCAAAGGAAGTCGTTGCTCTGGGGGCCAGCCCTATCCTCTGCACATTCATAACACGCAAGACAGTGCGGAATGAGGCGCGCTATATCGCAGTTAGACATCAGTCACGGCTGTCCGTTTCTGTTTCTCATGGCTCAGTGACATAAGTCGCTGACTCGCAAGAGTAAGCTCGTGGGTTCGAATCCGGCGGGATTCGGTAGGTGCGCGCTACTGACGAGTCTCAATAGGACGAAATGGCCGTTTAGCGCTTTCCTGTATGTGTGGTGGCTGTCTACCTGTGTCTAACTGTGCTGAATCTGCACAAAAACCTAATAAGTCCCCCTACTACTTACAGCCAATGAATCAGTTTACGCACTTTGGTAGCTGTCACCTTTATTGGTCACATCACTGAGGAAATTCGCGTATCAGCAAGGCCCATGTAGCTTTCCAGAGACGTTTATAAGAACGGCGTTGATATCCGCCTGTCAGCGAAAGTTAAGATGTATAACGCTGCCGTAAGGCCGGTCTACCTGTATGGATCAAAAATCTGGCCAGTCCAAGGCGAAGACATTAACCCCTTCACACACGGACAAAGAGTTATGATCCAAAAAATTTTTCATGTTGATAGTGATGTATTTGATCTTGTACCATAGTTAACGGAGGACTTTGAACCTTGCTGGTAAATTAAGCAAATGAGAGCATGTGTACACACTTTAACCCAAGCTGTTAAAAAGTACCAAGATGGAAGGATCGAAATATATCGCCTGAAATCGTGTGCTTATTTGCTATGAAATGTTATGAACATTTTTTCCTTTGTTCAGCTACGAAACAGTTGCATTTAGTACACTTGAGTCTGCTCGTCCTCAAGCTTGCAATGCTGTTCTAAATCGTTGATGCAAACAGGAAGATGGTCAAATCTATCATATCTGACTTCAGCAACTGGTTTGTCTACAGGCTTTGCGCGCTTTGTAGGGGGAGAATTAACTGTTGGTAGACATTTGTCAGATTCTGTGACTGATGGAGAGGTGCTTAGTCTTCTCACGGTTCTGCACGCATTAGTTGCTGTCAACTGTTTTCGTCAGTGTGAGCAACTGCGCTTCTGAAATAGAGAAGATCCAAGATTTGATTACCTGGTGTGCCATTTATAATTTCAATGTCTATACTCTAGCCATGTATTTCCAAGTGCATAGTCCACAAAGCGAAAAATCACTCATACCGCCCATTTCCTTGTTTTGGCCTTAATTCTGTTAAAGGAAATAAGATAATCCAGCTTATCTACGTCTCCCATGTTTTCGTTGTAAACTTTGACACATTTCGGTCTGCTCACTTGAATGAATTCCTTTCTGCAATCACTCCACCAACGTACACGGTCCATCTCTTCAATGCCCACAAAACTGGACGCTAGAGTAACAGCCTAGCTGTCCATCCACCTGACTATACAGAGATCTCCAGCTGTTGATACCTTGCGAAGATCTTTCTCGGATTTCAACGGACATCTCATTACACGATTACATTTCACAGTACCTAGAGAGTGAATACCTAGCATTTTCACTTCCCTGGTAAGATTCGTCACAGTAAAATAGTTGCCAAAGCAAGGCTTGTAATTTTTCTATCGATGGATACTTCCTGACAATCTCGGAACCATTGACGCACCAAGACCCAAATGTTTTATATCTACAGGAACACCAGTTCTTGCGTCTTCATAAAGTTTGACGCCGATGGCCCGTTCTGATTTGTCACAACAAAATTCTTTGTCGCCACTAGACTTGGTTTACTTTTAATGTATTGTTTTGCTCGCATTCTACCAGTAAATGGTACCATTTGCTCATCAACTGCACTGAGCTGTTCTCGGGATAGCTGCAGGCAGCGAGCACACATTGCTGTGTTAAGTGGCTCCAACTTCCAGAAATTATTTGTTCTCTGCGGTGAATTTTGCTCAGCATTAATGTGGATCGTATTTTGCATTTTCAAGTACCGGTTCACCATCATTATGTCTGCTACTACCTTCACTTCTGGTCTTTTGCCAATACATACGGATCCTTGGAAAGCCAACATTGTCCGTCACAATTGAGATGGCGAGAACTTTCGCATTTTAATAGCCGTTGTACCGAAACTGTTCCTGGTTTTAATCAAATAGCAAATATTTGTTTTGTAAATCTGTCAAAAATTCCAGGTCTGAAGTATTGTGGGAGATTTACTGATAGTGAAGTGAAGCCATCACCTAAACTGCAATCTTCCTGCCAACTTATGTTCCCTCGGTCAAATCCATCTCCAGGCGATCGCTATTCCATGCTGCCTTCCTTTGGCTTCAAGCTTATTGTGCTTTCCCGTTGACTAGCATAACTGCTGATTGTTCAACATTTGCTTCTCCACCCTCATTGATTGCATTTCTGTCATCATTCCCACTACATAGCATATCACGTCTGATAGGATAAAGGTTCTCATCCTCCGAATCATCAGATAAGAGTAACTATATCGGATTCATTCAAACGTTGTAGCAAATCGTCCGTTGTCAAACATATTCCTGTTTCAGCTGAAATGTACTTAAACGCTGTTGATTTCTTAATTTTTGTACTTATAACTCCATCCGAAGGTAACTTGACAATGAATAAAATAATGCAAAGAAGCATTAATAATTAAAAATGCACCAAAAATCTTGCAAGACTTCCATCTGTAACACATCGCTGCCATGCTCAAATATCCAAACTTTTACTCCATTCGGTCACAGTATGTACATTTGTGTACATCACTTAACAATATTATTCACTGAATATTATACTCTTCTTCGAGATAATAAAAGCATCACAATATTAAGCATGGGGTTTACTAATTATGCGTATTGAGCATCTTCCCTTAAGCATAGATCATGTTGACAAGGCAGGCACCATAAAGCAACACCACTAAACAAGTGGTGTCTTTTTTCTCTGATACGCTACGTTGAAATTACAGTTACTGAACAGGTGTAGAAACCAACCGAAATGTTCTGAAACTAGACATTTGCACCTATTTACACACAATTTGAATCAGTATCTTACTGGCCCAATATTAACGATGTAAAATCATTTTTTGTGCGTGTGTACATTTGTGTACATTGTGTACGAAGGAGTCAAACGCTTGTCCGTGTTTGACCACCGGTGTTTACAGAGTATTGCTTAAGTCTGGTAAGAACACCGAGTGAGCATTGCTGATGTCCACCAGTTGAGTTTCGACAAGAAGCCTTCTGGTTCCTCACTCGAGTGTTTGCCGAATCTTAATCGCTTACTTTGACTAGACCATGTCCTCCGTATGCCCGTTGATCGGCTTCCTCGGCGAGCATTATACGCCGTGGCTGCACTAAGTGGAGCGAAACCGCGAGTTGGGCAGTCCATGACCTAGCATCGTGGCATGAAGAAATTGACTGTGAGACTTGGTCAGGCTGGTGCATGCCGTCTTCGTAGCTGGGGGCCTCGGGATGGTGCACACCAATGGTTGGAGACCGTACCAAACATGACTCAGTCACGCAGTTAGTGGCGTTCCTACATTTGGTTTCTTGTATCTGGTTGTTAATTTTCGTTCCATTCTGATAAGTTAAACACAATACCATTTTGCTTTCTTTTTCTTTACATTCTATTTGCCTTAGCCCCATTATCTAACCGTCGTTATTTATTATTATTCTTGCGATGTGAGTCGCGACAACTGGATCAACCGCACGTCGGTGCCCGGACCATTGTCGATCAATTAAACTAACTGACTTTTTCCGCTCATTTAACGATCTGTCAACTTTCGTTTCTCAATTTTAGGTCTGGGTCTGGGCCCGTTACTTCATTTGCTCTCAATCATCGATCCCCAAACGATTCCAACAGCTCTACTGGGCACTGCTATTATCTTCGCTTCTTTCTCCCTCACTGCTATACTGACTCGCAAACGCTACTTTCTGTTTTTGGGCGGTAAGTTTCATTGATTTACTCGTTCAACGTAACCCTTCATTGTTTGATCGTTACCAGCAGCAACCGACTCTGAGCTATCTTTCTGCGATTTTGCATTTTCTTGATCACATCGTTACTAGACCACTTTCGTTATCATAATCGGAAATGTTGCCTCCGTTCTCAAGACGTCGCGCAGTCAGTTGCTATTCTTCATCATCATCATCATCAACAGCAGTACATCAGCCATTTGAACTGATGCTTCGCTGCCATACAACCATGAGGACCTATGAAATAAAGAATAAGAAGAGGGAGAGAAGGGGGACTTACCTGAAAACCTTAATGCCCTAAGCAAACATTCAGGGTCAAGGCGCCTACACCTTGTGTAGACAACATACCGTCACAAACAGCTGGCTATCGTGCAAAGATAAGGCGGCATCGGCGAGACAGCTTCCTTGCGGCTTTCACTGCCACGCGTCATAATCAGCCATTACCCCGCAGATAACTCAGCACCAAACACACTTCAAACAGACAATCCGATGAGGAGACGGCAGCAGACGCGCCACTGGTGTCGGTTGCGAGCCATGTCCTGTAAAGTCTCGAGCCAAGCACAAGGTGAGTCACGTGGACTCCAACCCGGAAGGCGAGACGGACCAACGGCATCCAGTTTGGTCGTCAGTGACTTTAATTCATTCTGCCAAGTCAACTTCTGTCCACCTGGAGCCTTGCGCCATCCTACACCTGGTAGACTGAACAAGGCCCTCCTAGGTAAGCGGTGACCAGGCATGCGTAGCACGTGCCCGAGCCAACGTAACTTATTCAGTGCTATCTGTTGTTCTAGGGAGCTAGCATGATTATCACTACCTAGTACTCGCCTACACACATTATCGTTGGGGACACGCTGGTGCCATCCGACACCAGCAATGCTTCGCAAACAACGATGATCAAAGACTTGAAGGCGCCTCAGATCTTCAGACCGAAGGGGCCAAGTTTCACTACCATAGAGCAGAACGGCCCTCACTGTGGCCTTGTATACACGGCCTTTCAGACGGAGGGAAACTCCCTTCTGTCGTCAAAGATGACGCAGGTTCAAGAAGGCAGCTCTAGCCTTTGCAATGCGTGAGCTCACGTCAGCTTCTATGCGCCCATTATTGCTGATGCAGCTGCCAAGATAAGTGAATTGATCAACCACCTCGAGTTCCTCGTTAGCAAGCGTCAAGGGGTCATCGAGTGGCTGGTGGTCCTGCAGCAACACTTTGCACTTTGAAGGTGCGAAGTGCATACCAAATAATGGGACCACTCTGGATAGGCTATTAAGGGTTGATTGTGCCGCCTCAACATTGTCGGAAAGCAAGACGATATCGTCCGCATAATCTAGATCAACTAACCGTTCACCAGGCAGCACTTCAACACCTACATCGTGAGATTCCGCAAGGGAACACTCCATGATAGAATCCACGAGGAAATTGAACAAAAACGGGGAAATCGGACAACCCTGTCGAACGCCACTTGTAGTCGAAAAGCTATCCGATAGGGCACCGTAGACCCTGACGCGGCCTGTAGTGTTCGAGTACAGAGCACGAAGGATGTTCACATATTTCGTGGGAACACCTTTCCGCGCAAGTATTTCGAACAGAATCGATCGATCGACTGAATCGAACGCACTCTTGAAATCGAGGAACACAGCTATTGTCGGTCTGCGGTATGCGTGGCGCTGCTCTAGCACCTGCCGCAAAGTAAATATATGGTCTATACAGCCACATCCTGGGCGAAAACCGGCCTGCTCTTCTCTAATCCGAGATTCCCGTTCTGCAGTGAGGCGACGAACGATAATCGAGGCCAGTAATTTTGTCACAACTGGCGTTAGGCTAATACCCCTGTGGTTCGCACAGTCTGTGCGACTGCTCTTTTTGTATATTGCCACTATAATCGATTCGCTCCAATTAGCCGGCACACTCTTCGTTCCAGATACGTTCGAATAGGGAGGTCAGTGCTTTGCAGAGGACCTCACCTCCATCCTTAAATAGTGCAGGTGGTAGGGAATCCGGGCCAGCGGCACGAAAACGATTGAGGGCTGTGATCGCGTTTCGGACCTCGGCTTCCGATGGAGGCTCTAAACTAACCGTCCATGGCTCGTCCTGCATCACCTGAGTAGGAAGAGGTCCGGGAGCAGGGGGCCAGCTGAACTGATGTTCAAAGTGCTCAGCCCAACGAGCCATACGGCGCTCCTTATTGTGTATCAGCGCACCCGCGCTGTCCCTGATTGTCTCACTGACGCCTAGTTTTCTCGGACCAGTGGTGCGTATTAGCTGGAAGAGCTTCCGGTAATTGCCTACTGCTCCTGCCTCCTCCATTTCTTGAGCCCGACTGGTCCACCAGGCTTCCTTGTCAGCACGTAGGCTCCGCTTTAGTTCACGCCTAATAGCTCGTCTGTTCACATTGTGTTCAGAACCAGCCGGGAGGTGCCTTCTAGCTTCCAAAAGGTTCATGGACCTCTCGGATATCCGGTGAGTGGTGCGATGACAACTGATAGTGCCACAAGCAGATGCTCCTGCGTCGTGCATAGTGGCCGAGATCCTATTCCACTGAAGTTCAGGATCATTAGGACAAGACCGCGGAAGTTCGGTATGCAGTGCTTCTTGATAGGCTTGCCTGACAGAGGGCTGGGACAATTTCTCCGTTGCCAATCGGTGGAGACGCTTTGTGCGCCTTCCGGTAAAGTTCAAGGAGAAACGACAGCGCACCAAGGCATGGTCAGAGTCGACACAGGTACTCCAGTGCGAGCGGCAATCCAGAATGGAACCACGCCACCTGTAACTTATGGCTATGTGGTCAATTTGGGTCCATCGCTGACCAGCTACAGGTGGACGCCAAGTGGCACTTCGGCGCCCACTGTGTCTAAAAGCAGTGCTAGTAAGAAACAACTGGTGCTCCGTACACAGTTGCAGCAGACGCTCGCCGTTGTCAGTCCGTTCGGCGTTAAGTCCATACTTACCACCCAGCTGAGCTTCTGAAGAGCTCAGACGCCCTACTTGTGCGTTCATATCCCCTGCAAGTACTATAATGTCTGAACTAGTAGCACTGCGTAGCAGCGTGTTCAGTTCGTGATAGAAAGTGTCCTTGACTGCATTAGAACTGCAGTCCGTGGGAGCATAAGCAGAAATCACAAACAAACAGCGCTTTGTTTTACTTCGCGAATTCACCTTAGCTGATGTCGTCAAACGGGCTGCACATAAACGGCTGTTCACCGGAATCCAATCAACCAACAATGACTCAGCCTTAGAGCTTAGAATGATACCTACACCAGCTTGACCCGTGAGTGCCGCATCGGCGTCTCCGGATGCGTGCAACCAATAACGAGAGGATAAGCCGGGTGCAGTCAATTCAATAACCCCGTTAGGGTCATTAATCCTAGTTTCGGACACACAACACACATCAACACCCAGTGTGTCCAAGGTGCGTGCGAGTGCAGCCTGCTGACTTGTTTGTCTTAGAGTGCGGACGTTGAATGTTGTCATGGAAACGGGACAGCGTGGCCTTATAAGGGACTTGCCGACAGGCGTCCGATAGGTGCTGTGGGATGGTGGCTGCAGATGGTTCTACTCCAGTAGCACTTCGGTTGCCGTCAATTAAGCTGGGAATTATAGAAGGAAGGTTAGTAATAGGGGTCGGGATGGGAGTAAGAGAAAAAGGTGGAAAAGAAAGAAGGGAGGCGCCAGCAGTAGCATGCTTTCGCTTATCCGCCCTGCTGTATGCAGCAGATAAGGCGACCCTTGGTAATCTGCGCGACGGCCGATGCAGGATGAAGTTTATGTTTGAAGAAAATGTCATGGTTGTATGTGGGCTGAGATACTGCCAGGGCGCCCAGACCTAGACAGGAGAACGATTAGGGTCCTCATCCAAAGCCTTTGGCTCAAAAGCCTGTCCACAAGGCAGCGGGGTGGCAGTGATTTAATTTTACAGAAATGGACGCCATCCCATTTCAAACCCCCAACCTGAAGGACCAGGAGACTGAGTTTGTCTGACCTCTTACCATTGACCAACCTGGTAGGAGTAGCTCTCAAGATGCTCGGAGGCATCACCCAGTATAGCTCAATGGGTCAATGAGGTACGCAAACCGTCTCAGCACGTTACGGTCCAGTCTCGTTGCGACGGGTTGCTATTCTTACCGCACATTGTGGCATGCTAGCTGAGCTATCTGAGTCAGAGGCTCACCTCGTTCTAACGACTAGTTTATGACTCCTATTCTAATAGATTATACAATCGTTGAGACTGCTTTAGTATCAATCTCAGCTTCGGATCGCATTCATTGGAGCTGATTCTCATCTCTGTCCGTCTACTTATCTATTGTATATATTGAACATTTACAGGCAAATCCGGAATAGGATGTCGCCAATTATATAGATTAAACACAGTCTGTGATACACATACCATCGGGATTATGGCAAGATGATAAAACCAGATTGGAATAAGAACAAACAGGCTATTTTGGTCCGGTTTTGAGATGGCTTGGTAGTTTGTTTTATTTGGGGAGGGAAGGAGAATCATCGCAACGAACAGAGAAGCACGTCCATCACTTGCGTTAATCTTGAGCCGTAACTTTCTTGGTTTCCAACCAGCGACGCTGCACCCGTTTTGTCAACTTTCTTGCCGCTTATCCACGTAGTAAGCCTTTCACCACGCCACTTCCTCTAGCTTTGTCCAGCGACCGCGAACAGTGCACGACCTGAAGGACGCTGAACGAACATGCGCAATACGTGTCCAAGCCAATGTCACAATGCAGCTCTGTCTACGGAATTGAAGACAGCACGGTTATCCAGGAATTGCAATCGTCGGCGGAGTTCAAGGGTCTGGCGGAGTGTAAATTTGATCGATTCACCCTGACCAGATCAGCATCCAGCCTGTTCTTTCTGCCGTAGCTATTCACGCTTTGAGGATAACCTGCTATGTACGGTGGACGCCAGATGCATGCAAACAACAGGAGCCGAACTTATACCCCTTTAGTCAGACTCTTTATAGGTGGG